TGTTTTGCATGATGAAGGTAAGTCTTTTATTTACCAATCTTAAATTTCTTAATTATGACTGGCATTTCTCACTCATCTATTGCCTATTTCCATGGCAAATATTCACACAGATTCTCTTCAATCATTCCACCAGTTGAGACCATCACAGCTAGGACCTGCCATGCCATATACACAGGGACAGATTATCCTCAATCCATTTGTATTGCTAAGGAGAAAGTTCCATTCAGCTTCTTCTGCAGAACAGTTGATTTATAGAAAAGACTCCCGAGAAACTGCTTCCCTGATCACTCCAATCTTAATCTCTTAATGTCTAGGGTCAATCGATATCTATCCTATATATCTTAATAATACGCACTTCACACTTCCTCTTTTACACCCTGATAATTTCATTTAATTACCCACTACCCTTAGTGGCTCTTGGGCATTGGGGGAAACAAAAATTTTAATATTCCTGTCTTTACAAGCTTCCTAGTACAAATGTCAATTTCACTCTGACCCCCACCTCCTCCCTTCATTTAAAAAAAAAATATATATATATATATATATATGGAATTGCCATTTACATCCAAATATGCCTGTCTATCTACTTGGGCAGCTAGCCAATCCATATTGTAGACGCCTGCTCAGGCAAGTTTGTGTTTGTTCACCCCCCCCCCCAAAACACACAGAGCCCACCTGTGGTTTATACTGCAACTATGCTGAGCAGACCTTAGTTACAGTTTCTGGGAAAGCGCACATTACCTGGTGTGGTCAACAGTCTAAATATTCCCAGGATCTATGTCCAACATTGTGTAATTACCATGGTTAATACAATGTTTCAGTTTCTCACTTCATGAGGTGTAGCATCGGAAAATAAATCAGAAACACACACACACTCACACACACACTTCTCACAGAAACAACCGTACTTGATGAGAGATAAAGAATAGATTGGCCAAAATTCTGGGTCAGGCTTGGCAACTATATAAAGTTTCAAATGTCAAATATTGGGTATTTTTTATATATATATATATATATATATATATATATAACATTAGGCAGCATATAATTTATATACAAAGAAATAATCATGCATAGAATCAATCAGCAATATTAATGCTATTTTTGGCGATATCCCATCACTAGTAGAATATAATGTATGCATTAAAATACTGTTAATCCATAGAATGATGTGATCCTCATTTATAAAACTGTGATTATTTCTTTGTAAATAAATTATTTGCTGCCTAATGTTTTATGTTTATAAAAAAACTATTGATCTGCAGTACAAAAAAAATTCCTAAAAACAAAAACTACTAAGACATAACACTATATTAATTGAACTATATACTTAGTTCATGACATATTAACTGAAAACACTTGTAAAAATAGAGTACATGGATTTACCACATCACAAGAAAAGTTCAAATAAAAGTTATCACTTAAAATTTTGAAAAACTTAACGTTGCATCTTTGCACATTCCGATATTGTACACAACCATCAATAATAGCACATTCTCAAAAAAACATCTTTCGGTCTAGAAAAAATTATTTCGTCTCCAAGTTTTAATTTTAAAAGAAAAAAATATGCCTGATGATGAAGGATTATTCGTAAGTACTTGCATTTTAAAAAAATATAAACTGGAAACAACCGACAATAGTTTTATAAATGAGGATCACATCATTATATGGATTAACAGTATTTTAATGCATACATTATATTCTACTAGCGATGGGATATCGCCAATAATAGCATTAATATTGCTAATTGATTCTATGCGTGATTATTTCTTTTTGTGTGTGTATATATATATATATAATATATATATATATATATATATATATATATATATATAAGAAAAAACAGAACCACTTTAAGGTTCCATTTGTTATAATTTATTTCACCAGAGAATTTTATTTTTCTCTGGATCTTCAGACTTCACTTTCAAAGGTGAACGAAAAATGAATTTAAAATTTACACTTTTGACAAGCAGTATTAAGCTTATATAAGTTGACATAGAGGGTGGTGAGGAATTGGATAATCCCAAGGAGGATGAAATCCTGAGAGCTCAATTTGAAGTCAGTGAATAATTTTAAAGAAAAAACTTATATAAACTTAATATTACCAAGATTTTCATTACTTATATATATATATATATATATATATATATATATATATATATAATTATTATTTATAAAAAAATTTTAACATAAGTATATTTATAAAATCACTACAAAAATAGCCATTTTTGTTTCAATACAATTTAATTGTCTTATCAAGTGATGTTATTTTTTGTAGTGATTTTCTAACATACTTATGTTATTTTTTTTATAAATAATAATTATATCTCTCTTCTTTTGTATTGAGCACTCTTTTAAGAATAGTAATTGTTGGTTATTGGAATTCATTCCATATATACCAATTATATACCCACCAATATATATATATATATATATATATATATATGTATGTGTGTGTGTGTGTGAAAAGTGTGTGTATATAAATATATATTATATGCGCAGTACTTATTAGAAATTGCTAACATGTGAAACCCAGGGTCACAAACTCACATCTATCCAACCAAATATATATATATATATATATGTGTGTGTGTAATAGATCTGTTGGTATATAATCCAGGTAGATCCTAGTAATATCAAATATTAAAACTGATCCAGAAAGAGAGCTCAATGCATTTATTATAACAGAACATATATATTATATAGCAAAAATTCCCAAATTACTTCATATGGGTAGAGCCTATTTCAAACCAGCTCACCCTTGCACCAGTCCTCTTCAGTCCTGGACTGATTTCATCTCAAAATCAGGGATTTGGAATTTAATTTAGATAGCAGTCAAGAAAAGATACAAACCTACCCAATCTGACAACTCATCTAGATAAAAAGCCTGAGTTGGTAGCAAGGGAGGATGTCAGGAATCTCTCTAAAGGGAAAGAGGTCACTGGAATTGACCTGGATATTTATTTTATGATCCTAGGCTGGGGTTATATGAAGAGTGAGGTGTTGAATTGAAACTAAAAGATGGGCCGAAATAGGAGTTTATTTATGACCAAAGCCTTTAATTATATATAAAGAAATTTAGCCTCCTCCCCCTCCCCGCTAGGGAATACCAAATTATACCAACAACAAATATGTTTAACTATAAGCACATGAGGTAATTTTGGAATTTTTGCTGCATAATATATATATATATATATATATACTATATGTATTTTTTTTTTAAATTCCAGAATAAACCATAGGTATTCATTTAAAAATAGATAAAAATTTTGGTGTTAATTATAAGTATTTTTTTTTAACTCCATTATTAATTAAAGATATTTATTTTTAAAAACCTCTTATTAATTATAGGATTCTATCTGAACACGTTAATTCTCACAATAGCTTAAATGCGGTGGGGGTCATTAATGGGTTAAAATGGGAGTCCTCAGATCCTGTCGATAAAAGCTCAAATTATTTAAAAAAGAAAAAGTTAGTCTTTAAGAATATTTTGAGTAACTTTACCGTTTTCAGAGTTCTATGATTTTCAAAAGTTAAAATTAGATGGAGAGATGTGTGGCTATGCTGTGATATGTCTCACATCTAACTGGAGTTGAGAATTCTTTCTGCTTTATACAAAGAAAAAAGTGGTTCAGATTGCTATCTACTTAAAATGCAGTCTCATTGGTTGATGATGATCACATGATCAGGTAAAGTAATTTTTGCACCAAAAATTGATCATAAAATTTTATTGTCACAATTTGAGTGTTGTGGTTAACCAAGTGTTGCTAATGAAAACAAAGTGTTGCTCTATTTTATTGGACCTTAATGGCAACCGCAAATACAGATAAAATTCTTGCACATTGAACTTTTAGGGATTGACATTCTCACTCTATCTACAATTTCATTTTTGAAAATCATAGAACTGTGAAACTGAGAAAGTTACTGTAAATAAATATTCTTAAAAACTCCAGTTGGGTTTTTGACTTTTTTTTTCTTAGATCTTTATTTATGTGGGATATATAAAAACAGATATTAAGTTTAGTGTCTTGAAAATGTATTTCTATATATGAACCCAAATTCAGATTATCAAAGCTTTATCATTTGCCTCTCTCCCCACCCCAATTTCTGCTTTTTTTTTTCTTATCAGTTTTTCTGTTTTTTAAAACACTAATAGCTTCTTTTTTTTTTTTTTTTTTTTTTTTTTTAAAAGTAAACAGCATGTGTGACTGTGCATGTATGTATTTTTTTTCCTTTTCAGTGCTAATCTAATTACGCCCCAAGCTTTTTTATAAAGCTCCTATAACATAGCTAATCATTTTTTAACTTAATGAGACGAGTAAAGATTACTTTTTACAAATTTTATTCATTGCAATTTTGATCTCAATCTTTTTTCTATCCAAAAAATGTTTGGACAAACAATTGTAAAATCATGCCTTTTCTGAAAGTGATAACTGTGTTGGTTTGCCATTGCCTGCAGGAAATATACTTCAAACACAACCTTTCCAATCTTATGTTACATCTCAGCACTTTCTGATCAAATTATTTGTAGTTAATCAAAAAAAAAAGTTTGTTCTCAGCATAATTTTTCAAGTTTTCTAACAAGAATAAATCCTTAAAACGTCAATTTTCAGTTTCTCATGCTTTTTTAAAGAAATGTTTAGTTGTATTAACACTCCGTTAGTACCATGGGTTTTTTCAACTACCACACTGAAAATATTTAAAGATTTAAAAAAATTTTTTTTTTTTCATTTCGGGTACAAAATTTTATGTTTGCTATTAAAAGATATTTCATGGAAGTGAATAAAATTGAAAGGGCGAAAAAAGGTTGAATTATTGTGAACAGTAATTTGATAGTGGGTGCGGATAGTTGACTGGTTTTTGTTTTCAGATCTCACTCAATAATAAAATAAATGTACATGACAATTAAAAGTGGGTGAGGTATAGGAATATTTCCTATCCTCACTAAAAATATTTAACACCTATTTAAGCTGGGGTGCACATTTGTTTTATTTGCTTCAATGAATAAGAAGACTAGCTTTTTCTCTCATTATTTTCTTCTTTTTTTCTTCGTTTTTTTCATTTTACTTTGTTTTTTTCATCTTTTTTTCTTTTTGTTTTTTTTTCATCTTTTTTCTTTTTGTTTTTTTTCATCTTTTTTCTTTTTGTTTTTTTTCATCTTTTTTCTTTTTGTTTTTTTTCATCTTTTTTCTTTCTTTGTCTTTTTCATCTTTTTTCTTTCTTTGTCTTTTTCATCTTTTTTCTTTCTTTGTCTTTTTCATCTTTTTTCTTTGTCTTTTTCATCTTTTTTCTTTGTCTTTTTCATCTTTTTTCTTTGTCTTTTTCATCTTTTTTCTTTCTTTGTCTTTTTCATCTTTTTTCTTTCTTTGTCTTTTTCATCTTTTTTCTTTCTTTGTCTTTTTCATCTTTTTTCTTTCTTTGTCTTTTTCATCTTTTTTCTTTCTTTGTCTTTTTCATCTTTTTTCTTTCTTTGTCTTTTCATCTTTTTTTCTTTCTTTGTCTTTTTTTCATTTTTTCTTTCTTTGTCTTTTTCATCTTTTTCTTTCTTTGTCTTTTTTCATTTTTTCTTTCTTTTGTCTTTTCATCTTTTTCTTTCTTTGTCTTTTTCATCTTTTTTCTTTCTTTGTCTTTTTCATTCTTTTTTCTTTCTTTGTCTTTTTCATTCTTTTTTCTTTCTTTGTCTTTTTCATTCTTTTTTCTTTCTTTGTCTTTTTTCATTTCTTTTTTTCTTTTTCTTTGTCTTTTTCATCTTTTTTCTTTCTTTTGTCTTTTTCATCTTTTTTTCTTTCTTTGTCTTTTTCATCTTTTTCTTTCTTTTGTCTTTTCATCTTTTTTCTTTTTTCCTTTTCAGGAAAAGTTTTTTGTTGCTAACAGAATGTTAACATTAGAGTAGTGCTTAAAACGTCAGTGTTCCAACCATGAGATTCAGGTTGAAATCTTGCCATTATTGATTTGTTGATTTGACTTTTTGATAATATCAGCCTTGAAAGATGACCCCAGTGTGGCATGGTTTCTAAGCGCCTGATACTATGAACTGATGTCACAAATCATTGTGACGGCGTTGAATGTCCTGGATAGAAACTGCAAGCTCTGCTCACCTAGTTGCAGTATAAACCACAATGTTGGCTCTGTGTGCTGAACAAGCACAAATGTGCTTCAGCGAGCATCTGCAACAGAGATTAGCTAGACACCCAACTGACGAGCATAATCAGAAACGAGAAGTCATAAAAATTGACAGCTTTATTTAAGTATAGATTGACTTTTCTACGTACAAGTGGAATATCAGTGCACTCTACCTAGGAGCAAAATTTTGATTACTGAGCCACGACTTAGGATTGGTGCAACTCTGAAAAATTTACTTGCACGCACACACACACACACACACACACACACACACATACATACATATTGACCTGTGTATACAACAGAAAAACCTTTTGTGGTGGGGTGTGTCCAAACACCTCATGGTACTAAGAGATTGTTTATTTATTTTTATTTTTTTTTTTCCAGATTATTTATTTTTATTTATTTATTTTTGTAGACTGGTGGTATGAACAGACTATTCACACGCTGTGAACAAATCTCTCTTCTTGTTGCTAGCCTCTGTCACGACTTGGATCACCGAGGGCAGAATAACCAGTTTCAAATCAAGTAATCCTTTTCGGCTCATTATTCAGGAAATTTGACATGTAGTTTGCCATTTTCAAATCTTAAAAATTTTCATTTCAGGTCAAGGAGGGCATGACTTTTTTTTTTTTTTTTTTATATATTGACTTCCCCAGGCAAACTGTTTGCGACCATCAATTGATTTTCATTACATTTGTTGTAATATTTTGCGGCAGGAATGTGTCCTTTCATTGAAAGGTGGTCCATGGTTAAATTGAGTGCTGATTCAGGAACTTTCCAAACCCTCAGTAAGAACCAACAAAAATTAGAATTTTCTAAAAAAATTATTAATTTCCAAGACAAATGATAAGAATTTTCAAAATTTTGGCACTGCTTTTGATGTCCCCTTTATTATATAATAAATATAAACATTAATCCTTCATTTAAAAATGTGTGTCTGCATATATATAAAACTAAATTATATCCTAAAGAGCCAGGAAAACCTACCTAGGTTTCTCCTAAACAGATCTTCAGGATAAGCTGGACAGCTTACCCTGAAAATCAATTTAGGTGAAACCTAGGTAGGTTTTACTGGCTCTTTAGGATTTATTTTAGTTATTCCCCCTCTACTTAGAGTATTGAGCACTCTACATTTCAGTCTTACTACTTTCTTTGGACTAAAGACTTAAGGCAATGAACGATTTATTTCGCCCTGTTCAAATGTTTTTACTTTCTTTTTTATTTCCAATTTTTTCCTCGGGTACCAATTTGTTTTAACATATCTACAAGTTGAGCTATCAGTTTTTTTTTCCAATGTTATTACTAATATATATATATATATATATAATATATATATATATATATATATATATATATATATATATATATATATATATAGCGTATTGGAGCAGCAGATCATTATTCAAACATATATTGTTAAATATAACAGACAACAAATGTCAATTATGTTTGATCATGAGCCGTTCTAAGCTTTGTATAGTTGCTTTAATTTCGAGAGAAAATAAAGACAAAAATTGCCCAACATAGCAAACCTATGTAAGTATAATAGGATATCATCTTTGATAGTGAACATCTCTGTTGTAATGTCTATATAACCACTCTGATGATGGCTCATGTGAGCCGAAAGCTTAGATGAAGGAACAGCATAATAATAAAAATATCCAGATGTTGAACTAATGATCACTCCAAACACCTTCATAATAACCATAGACTTCTCCAACTCTTTCACTGTCCTCAGATTGATGCCAAGCACTCTGAAGTGTTCATATTGGATCTTCCAGCATGGATGCCAAGCAGTACAGCATGTCATTTCCAAATTGTTGGTGGAGTGAATTGCATCATGGTGCTCTTTTCTCACAGACAGTGCCCAACTGACCCTATTATACTGTGCAGTCTACAAAATTAAAAACAATGCACATATGCAAAGTTAAAAAATATAAAATGCCAACAATTTACCCTCTCTCGTGTGTGTGTGTGTATATATATATATATATATATATATATATATATATATGAGACAATTTATCCATCACACTCTGTGTGTGTGTGTGTCTATATACAGCTTGTCAAATGTCACACCAGGTGCTGTCAGTTCTATTGATCATTTGCCATTTGTATTAGGAGAAATCAATGAAAGTCATGTTTATCTAACCATTTATTTGGAGTTGGAGAATTATTAAGGACTAGCAGTAGAGCACGGCATTGCCCGGGGATATAACAGTAAGAGATAGATCAAATATCCAACATCATAATGACTGAAAAATAAAATTGACAAAGATTATTGTTTAAGGTTGACGAACACGCATGTCTTAATTAGTTTTTTTTTTTTTCACGAATTGGTCAAATCCAAACTCAAACAAAAACATTGTTTTCAATCGTTATGAGCCTCCAGATTGAATAGAATTTTATTATAAACAATTGTCTTGTAAATGGAATTTTTTAAAAGCATTCTGAATATTAAAATAAAAGAAAAAGTGTGCAAGAGAATAAAAGAAAATGTAGGAAATCGAGCCCATATAAAGGAATACACACTCATAAACAACCTGGGTTTTTTAACCCGATGTGAGTTGTCCCCTATCATTCACACGATGTCTCTTAATCATGCTTTCAAATTGATTTTGTGCAAAAACAATTTTATTTTTCCCATTTTTGGTGCTGTTAGAACCACCGCAAGGTAATTTTATGTAGTCCTGTGAAGTTTTGTTGAAATCGGTTGAAAAAAGTAGGAAATCCGATCCAATATATAAATGTTACAGACACACACACACAATCTGCGTTTTATAATAAGTAAGATCTTGCAAGACAAAAAAGAATTAAGAAAATTATTTTTACTCTCCAATCACCCGAACTATTTAACTTGGCTTCTCCCTGCTCCTTTAATCTGCCTATTGAATCTTCAGTCTTTTCCTTTCATAATGTGTCCAAGAAACTTCAACTCTACCTTACTGATAATAAGTATAAGGACCTTTTTAGTTTCTATTTGCTTTAGAACTTCCTTGTTGCTCACATGTTCAATCTATGTTATTCTTTGCATTCCTCTGTAGAAGCACATCTTTATCATTTTGAATCTCTTCTTCATCTGAAAGGGAAATTTCGCAACATTCCTTGCTATACAAGATGACAAATATGGCACTTTGTTCTTAATAATTCTAGAGGAATAAAAGGCAATAGAAATACAATGAAAGAAATACTAGTTAAAAATGAATAATAATTGACAATGTCGCATCTAAAAAATTCTATTAATATATTACTGGTAAATACAAAATACTTCAGAAACTTCAGTGCATGGATCAGTTAATAGGCAAGGATCTACACGATCTTGACAGTCAAAATGGCAGAAGATGGCAGCACCAGTTGGGCTGGTGTAACCAAGGCAAACCTTGACAGACCTAGAATCCAACAGCCCAATGCAATCAGGTTTGCCAGATCTCATCTGTCTTAAATCCCCTTTGAGCCGTGAGGGATACGCTTACTGGCCAAGTGTGTGGGTTTCTCCATTGCACAGATTTGTCCACCAAAATCAAATTCACATGAATAGCCTCATGAAACTCTCTTTGAATCACAGCTAGCTCCGCCACTGCTAACCAGACAGAGAAAGAAAATTGGTGTCGAACAATCACGTGGTCAAGATAAACACTCAGTTGTGGAGCAAGCTGAGTGAATACTAATTCAACATTGAGAAAGAGAGTTATTTATGGTGCAATGGAGCATCTCATTATGCTAAAGTGGGATAGTCCATTGCTTGGGCTGTGATTGGCTGCTGGTACCTGAGTGGAAGTATTTCTATATAAATACCAGCTTGATTTTCTCAGTTAGTTTGTAGGGTTTTGTATTAGGTTACAACCTGCTTTATTTTTGTCTGCCAGCTGGACGCTAGCTGGGACTCTTACACCGATAAGTGTTGTTTATTGTATTGTTATTCTACAATTGGGAGAGAGGGTGACAATCTCGATGCCTGGATGCAAATGAGTGTCGACAACAATAGAGCGGTTATAATAAATTTAATTTAGGAGCTAGGGAAATTGGACCGAGAATAGGTTGTGGTAGTTATTTTGTTCAGTTTTTTAATCAGTTCACTCCAAGCAAGTCAATAAAGCCACTATTTTAGTGGTTTTATTGCTTTGCTTCAGGTGAAATGATTACAAAACATGGGGTTACTGAGTGTGAGGGAATACAAGGAAAAAAAGCCCTATAAAGGAGAGAGAATAATAAAAGAACGAGAATTTAATAGGCAGAAGATAACGATTGACATTTCATTAGAAATTTTGAAAATCAAAATTGGCTGGGGAAGCAAGAAGCCTGAATATTTTCACAAGCAAGAAATACAAGAGAAGAAACTGTTAACTTAGAACTTACGGTTACATTTAGCTATTTCTACAGTCAAATGATGAGATCTTGCTGCCAAACTAGTAGTGTACTTAAATTCATATTGTCTAGGCACCCTAGCAGAAACTACACTACGGGTAGATTGTTCTAGTTCCACATTCCATGCCTCTCCTGGATGTCTCAGTTATTTCCCTTTAACTCAACTCTACAAGTTTTGGTTCATCACTGCTGTGGTCTGGGATTGAACTCACAACTCTTTGGATCTAGTCACTGGATCTAACCAACATCTTTATCCACTGGGCCATGTGTCCTTGAGGACTACCCCAGTGGATGAAATAAAGGGTTCAGTTTGAAATTCCAATCACCTGAAGAAAGCCGGAGTGTTCAACAACTGAAATGTTGTGAATATGATGATGAGGATAACAGTCCG